CGGCGCCTGCCCCATCGTAGGCGGGATCTTTTTTGTCACTTTACGGTTTCGACACTTGAACTGCGTATGACCATACTAGCCACAACGAATACAAGTTGCACAGGGGTAACGATCTCTCCACACGTCCTCTGTAAGCCCCGCTTTCTCCCATGGAGAAACATTTGGGGTCTACCTGAGTCTTTGTCCGGGAACCTCCACAACGTCTACCGGTCGCCTTACCTTTTTGTACTAAGGCAGCGACTGCTCCACCCTCTGAAGCTTCTGCGCTACCCGACTCTGACCCTACTCCCACCTGGAAGTCGTCGTCTAACTCTATGGTAGTACCATCATCGTCGACGAACATTATGTGCCCCTTGGCCTTCCAATTAGGAGGCAGTGTCTTTTTCCTACCATCCGTTGTGGGTTGGTGCCCATGCCCGATCCTTGCCTCTAGATCTAGGGCCTTCTTGCTGAATGAGGGGAAATTGTGGACCGTGATCATGGCCTCACTTGCAACTGATTCCTCATCTCCATAGGGAGGCACCTCAGGTAAGTGGTAGGTAAGACCTGGGCGTCGTAGCGTACGCCACGAACACAAATCAGACGCTCTACCGCGTCTGTGGCATCCCTTACTGACCTGAACTTCTTTGAGCTCACGGTCAATATCCCGTTGGTTGCCTTTTGAGCCTCCTGCGGGTCATGCCCAAGCGCGGAAGTCATGACCGTACCCCTCTAGCTGCACGAACCCGCTTAACCACCTCGCTGCACTCCCCTCAAGATAGGAGGCAGCCACAAGGACTTCCTCGTGAGGCAAGGTTAACTTGCACTTCACGTAGACTGGCACCGTCCTCAACCATGTGTCAAGGTCCTCACCCTTCTTATCACCTGAGAAGGGCTTGGATGATGCAATGGCGTCTTCGGAACCCACTGTCCTTGTCCCGGGGCCTGCGCAACTTCAGTCTGTGGGGCCAAGGGTGCAGGCTGCTGCACTGGTTGTTGTTTGGGTTGTGTGCCCTGCGGCTGTGCTGGCTGCGAGACGGCAGGCTGCCCTGTATCTGCAGTTTGCAACAAAGGTTGGGAGAACACTGTCTGAACAGGAATCTGTACACTAGGACCTGCTAAGAAACCCGCCTGTCAAAGGCATACCAAAATGAGAAGCAGCTTGTACCGACACCGGAGTAAGTGTGGCTGGGACTACTCCCCTTACCGGTGGAACAAAAGGAGGAGGCTGTACCACGGGCCAGGCACCTGGCCCAAATGGTGATGGTGAGACCTGGACTCGCCCGACCAGCACGGCCAGGCTCCTCTGAATGTCTTGCAAGAGAACCGTATGGTAGTCCTGCATCTCCACTACATCTAGCACGGCCGTCCTAATGATCCTTACATCGTCATCCATGTTTGTCAGGTCCATCTCCTCTAACTCCCTGATGTCCGCTTGTCTCCGCTGCATTCTAAATCTACGTCTGATCATTCTTTCTTTTTCTGCCTGTGTTTCATCCAATGCCTGCTGTAGCTGTGCCTCACGAGCGCTTGCTCGCCGGATGGCGACCTCCTCGAGAGTTAACACTGCTTGCTGGCTTGCCATTACACCAGCGGACTGACTCTGGGTCTGTGTGACCGTCGCCCCGACAATCCCTAAACTACTGGCCTGGGAACTCTGTTGTGCAGGGGCGGCCATGGTGGCTGCTGAGGTGGCTGCCTCCCTTGCAAAAGCTCTGCTTGCCTCTGCGTCCTTTGCCAACCTTCACTGACAAAGCCTCTCTCTAGCCTGGCGGAACAGAAGATGGTCTCCCTCGGTTCCTAACGCTTCGTGGACCAATGGAAGTCTATGGCTTGACGAATGCAAGATCCAATCGTCCGGTTCAGGGTTCTCCCTGTCGCTCATATGCTTCAGCACTGTACACTGTCTACACTATGACACACTTTGGTTGCCTACCGCAGCGTAGTGCTCAGACCGATTTAAAATAATAAAAATAAATAACCGGTGACATTGTCAGATAATACACAATTGAGTTCAACAGGTCAGTTCAGATTCCTACAAATAAAACTATTTTACTTGACTAGTCCGCAAACAGAAAGCAAATAAGGGAGAACAGATAGTTCTACCTCTGCTGTCTGTCAGATGTGTTAATGGCTGTAACATCTAAGTTGATCAACTAATCAAAATAAAAACAGAACCATCTGTGTGGCTGCTTGCGGAGTGGAATTGTTCCCGAACTCACCTGAAATCTACCCTCCCTCAGTTCTTCTTGATGTCACTTGACGTCAGCATTCCTGAGCAATCGGGATGGCGCTGGTGTCTAAAGGTGTGCACAACCCACCCCTGTGCCCCAAGTCAATGCTGAGCTGGCCAGCCCTGTACCATATTTACCCTCGCGTGCATGGCGCCTTACACCGACCAACTGGCTGATCAAGAGGCAGTTTAAGGACGCCCCCCGAGGTCCTCAGGAATTATTTAACGTCACAAACAGGACGACGATCACAGCCAATGGAAGGTAACCCGCCGGTATTTATTTATAAATGTCCAGATCTCGTCTCCTCAATAGGGCTGGCCTGCCCCTCACAACCTATCTATAGCGCAGCAGGCAGACAAAGGACAAAGCGGCAAAGCATGCGTGCTCTACTCCCTGTGAGTTGGCATGGTGACCGTGACCCAGTGCTTCGTCCAGGGCCCTGCAGATGGCAACGCCCTCTCCTTCCAGATGTTCCACGTGAAAAATGCCGACTCTCAAGGTTGAGCGCACTTGACTCCTCACATGAGAGGACTCTCAAGACAGAACACACATCCTCACGGTAAGAAGTGTCGAAGACGGTAGATAAGGTTAAAAGCAACGTACCTCAATATAGCTGCCCCCAACCACAGATATTCTCACCAGATGACTGACGTCGACTGCGATGACCAATCATTGCTTAGGCACAACCAGCATTATACCGCCGTTCCACCTCAGCATCAATCGCACATCAGATAGTTCTCATCACAATGCGAAACACCCAATATCACCACACAGCCTTCCTGGCGATACCCCTCTCCACCCGGGTCGCCTGCTTGCCTTCGCCCTCCTCACTGCATGCTACCCACGGTCGCTCACCCAGCTAACCACGTGCATGCACCGCATAAGCAGAAGACAAGCGCCAGATCAGCGCAATCGTACCACAGCTCCGATACCAAAATGCAAGGAAAATGAGCGATGGCGAAATCCAGAAACCAAGCAGCATCATACAAATGAAACCAGATAGTCTTGAAAAGTAGAGCTGCAACTCGAGTTCCACCAAATAAGAGCACAGCAAAAGCTCACAAGTGACAATGTTGGGATAGTCTCATCATCATCAACAATGAACCAATATCGAATCCCTATCTGGCGCTCAGCGCCCAGACTACAAATGGCAGATCCTATCTAGCCTATATACAATGCCGCTGGTGACGTCAGCAGCTTCCTGAAGTACGGGCACTCGCTTCAGCAGCTGGTGCATAAGCAGCGAGTGCCCGAATGTCCAGCCAGCAGCCAGGCCCTTTCCTTTATGGAAAGTGGCTGCCACTCATGGGCTGCCTGGCTGGCCTGGGCCTCCACCCGGAAGCTTCCAGTAGGCCTCAAGTGGCTGAGGCCCTGTCCCAGGAAACTCACACAGGGCCTGGGGTGGTTACACGTATCCAACTGCCCAGCGGCCATTCTTCAGTTCTTGCCCCGTGTCTGGCCCAGGGCCTGCCTCCAGTTCATACGGATAAAGCAGAGGCAGGGCCTGGGCTCAACCAACCAACTGACACTGCATAACTGCCTAAATTTCCTCCAGTTGCAACAAAGGCAAAATAGGCCTCTCGTAACTGAACAGGTCCGCCTCCACTTAGGGCGCCCTGGCATGCTGGAAACAGGGCCCGATAGGGCTCCTCGAGGCCTCAGGCCTCGCAGAAACAGGACCAAAAAAACAAAAGGAAAACAAAGACGGATTTGAACGTAATATCCATCTGATACATGGAAAGTAGTAGTGTGAGTATGCCCTGAGTGAGGGCATTCCCAAGAACGTAAATAGGGAAAGAAAAACAAAAACGAATGGAAGACATGGCCATGATAGCGGTCAGATACAGTCTGGAAAGTACTAGTGTGATTATGTCCTCAGTGAGGGCCTTTCCTGAGAAGGTGGAATACACCCTGCCTCTTTGGCAGGCCAGTACAAGAAAGGAAGAAGGGGGAAAAAAAAAAGACACAATTATTTGGCTGTGATAGTGGTCAGATACATTTTGGACAGTTCTATTGTGAGTATGCCCTAGGTCAGATGGCTTCCCCCATATCTCTTTTCTGTTTCTTTCATGAAACGGCGACGGCCTTTGTTCATCAGTGATCCGGATTTAGTGTTTTTTTTTTTTGTTTTGTTTTGCTTTGTTTTTTTTTAATTGTCTTTTTGGTGCCATCTGCTGGCATGAGGTACAGCACTTGAGTTTCATGGTAGGCTGGTACCAGTAACCCGAGACTTTACTTTACAACCTGTCACTGTAGCAGTTAGGCTCAGAAACGTGCAACTTTTGGTTCATCAATTTAGCTTTGTGTGAACTGCTGGTTTAAAAAGGCCAGCCAGAGACTTGTGCTCCACTAGATGGCCTTCCTCCTCTGGAAAATTTGTAGGGATGCCCAGTCTCCGTTTTGAATAGAGATTGAGTTCTCTTTTCAGAAAGAAGGGAACCTGAAGTTCAGTTGCTAAAATCTTCGCTAGACGCATCTGCCGACGGGTTTTTGCTTGCCCCCAGCCTTTCAAACAATAGATGGTGACCCATAAGAATAAAGGGGCCTATATAATGCCTAACTGCATTATGTTCTTCCTATGGTCACACTAACCCTGATCTGCATATGGAGTTCGTCCTTGCCAGTCTGGCAGAATGCCAGCCCGACGGGTCTGAACCCCGAGCACTTTGGAAACGATGCAACAAGCAAAAACTGCTAAATATCGGACTTCCTCCTCCACAGCGTCAACAACCAGATAGCACAATGCAGAGCATAGAAAGCAAGAGGAGGGAATTACGGGAGACTTACGAGAACAAGCGACATGACCCATAATTAAATCTGGATGATTGCAGACTTTCCTGAGTTGCATAATCCTGTTGTTCAAACTTGTCTGTCGAGCACCTGCCAAGAGGATTGAGCGAGCAGCAATAACATCTGAGTAGCCACACAATGTACTACGGGAACATACACACGTGCAACAGCTTGTTGGAGAACCCCCCTGCAGCTGGGACATGCATTCAACAGTTTGGATATGTCCCCTTCTGCTAGGATGAGCAGGTCAACTGGCCATGACATACCAACCAATGCCAAATATCAAAGGTTTAGTTGCCGATGATGTGCAAAATGAGAAAGTAACAATTTGGACAGTGGCACATGGAACAACATCAGTAGAATGGAATGTGTTCACAATTAGTTTACAGGGAGCATTGACAAATGCAAAAGCAAAAAATTGTGGACGGTGTCATAGAGATTCGCACAATTAAAAGCAGAGATGTGCGGCCAATGGTATGTAGCTCTCTGGCAGGTAGGCTGAGAGGAGCCAATGGATTGAGCTGTCAATGCCCAGTGGACGATCACTAGTCAGCCTCATCAAGGTTACAAGGAGCAGCTGACAAGGGGTACTGGGTTTCATAACCGCCCTGCCCCCAACACACACACACACACACACACACACACACACACACTCAGACACAGAGAGAGAGAGAGAGAGAGAGAGAGAGAGAGAGAGAGAGAGAGAGA